AATCAGAGATTGAGAAGAATGAATTACTTGGACGGTTCTGAAAATACCGTCGAAGATGATGTAAGTGTGCTTCTTCCTTTCCTCGCTGTTAGAAATTACAACCGATTTATTACCTTGATTTCCATTGTAAGATCCTGGTTCATAACCATTCCTGAAATAATTAAGAGAAAAATTCTAAATCATTATGAAAAACAAAAGTTAAAGAATTATAAGACTGTAAAAATTAAAAGAGATGATGAATAATAAAATATAAAGTTCAAAGAATTACTGTCTTTGGCCAGGAGTTTGTAGGTAGCTTGGAACAAAGGCTGAGGAAGATATCATTCTGGAAGCTAATAAATTTGCTGCCATAACTTTCTTCTTTGCTTCTGGTAAACATAAAATACAATATACATACTTATCAAATTACTTATTTTCACCATTTATATTAATGTATACAATTTGCTCATGAAAAAACTTAATGAGTAAAGTGATGAAGAAATTTGAGTAGTAGTCCAACACAAAATGATGGTTTTCTAGGAACAAAATCATGAAGAATATTTGACTTGATAACTTTAGTTTATGTTGGTCACGGAATAGGGAATCAAAACCAGTTATGCTGACGTGACTAAGTCTTGTTTGATTCCTCTATTTTCTTAGCATAATATGTCACAAAATATAAATATTTTCTTTTTCACTTTTCACAGATCAAATTTCCTCTATTGTACCAAACAATATGTCTAATATACTCTTCATTAAACTTTATCTTCCATTTACAAATATGCATTTACATGTGTTTCTGTGACATATAACATGCTTTTATTTCAGTAACTGAAAAATATCAATACCTTGACTCGTTTCTTCATGTTTCATGCTCCTGTACAACTGTCATTTATAATAAAATTTCATGATTAAAAAAATAGGAAAAAATTATTCTTATTTCTATTTAGAAAAACATAAGATAGTGGTTATAAATTATGATAAAAAAGAGTACCTGAAGGTGGCTTTTCACCTGAGATATTGTAAGTCCCTTAACATTCATTAGTTGTAAAATTAACTTTGGTGTAGCCCCTCCTGAAAATTCAAACGTACATTAATCAAATAACGTAGCAATATTTTTTAATAGTAAATGTTCTGTTAATCAGCTAGAGGGGATAAAACTAAAAAAAATGATAGGTAGCTTACTTTCTTCTCTTTCAAGCTTCTGAACTGCATGCAGAAAGCAACGGTGAAGATCTGATGTCCAACGAAGTCGAGGCATTTTCGATCGAAGATAAGGTCTAACCATAGGTGCTTTTAGACTCATCTCGGACGGGTTTGAAGAGTTATTGTTATCAACAACTCCGCTAACAGGAGAAGATGAAGATGAAGACATAGTTTGAGATGAGGATCGAGTTTTTTCTCTCTTTTTGTTGAGAAGGGAATGGAAAGAGTGGTGAAAGTGGTGTTCTGAAGTAACAAAAGAGAATAAATACTACAACTAGGTAACGTTTTGTGTAGCAGAAAATGGTTGTCGTTTAGTGCAGCTTTTGTGTACCGTAAAGGTGCATGAAGTTTAGTCCTAAAGAATTTCGATGGATAAAAGGAAAATTTGAGACACGGAAACTCTGAAACTGAATATTGTTCAAAAATGCGTTCATGATTGGGTGAAAATGAAAGGTTAAAAAGGTGAAAGGAGTTTAAGTCTTTGTGATATCATTTTCTTTAGACATTCCTTTGTGTCTTTTCTAGACATTCTTTGTCTCTTAAGTAAAAGAATAATAGCTTATATTGTATATTTTTTTAATTACTATCTCCGTTTTTATCTAAAGAAGTTGGTATTATTATATGAAAAAGAAAATATATAAAGTGTTTTACACGATTCTATGAGAAATATAAAATTAAGAAATTAATAAAGAAAATAATAAATACTTAAAAATAAACTAAAAAGTAATATTAATGGTTTTTAATATTATAAAATAAATAATACCGAGCTTTTTCGCAAAACTGCTTATCATAAAAAATTAGAGAAAATATTATAATATAAATACGGTTGAAAAACAACATCGGTAAATGTATGGGATTAAAAGTAGTACATTGACATTATAAAATAATTTTATTCTGTCATTCGATAGAAATTAATTAATCAGCCAAATCATTTGTGTAATTCTAAAATAAAGGTAATTAATTATCTTTATTTGTGTAATTACCTTTTGAGAAAAATAATATACACTAAAAATATAAAATAATTTTACACTATCAATCGATTAATGACATGTATTTTTAAAAATCACACCTTTTGAGAATCACACCTTTAAAAATAAAGGTGTATATTATTTTTAGTGTAAATATACAAACCCTTCGTAATAGTAGCGAGTTTTGTTTTGAAACCCTGGAAAAGATTTTTTTTTTTTTCTTTTAAATCCCCCTTATCTAGATTCCATCAACCCCCCTCAAAACGCCAGTTGTCCTCACAGATTCCCCATTTTTTTAAAAATTTATGTCTATGTGGATTAATCTTTTTGACATGTGGCATTTTAATTTTTCTTATTTGTTGTTGACATAGATATAACATTTGAATTACCCCTTTGTAAAAATTAGGGTTAGTTTTTACTGTTGCAAAGAAGAATACGAAGGCGACGACGCTCAGGCAAGGTAGGAAAGCTACGACGTTTGTGGTTGTGGTTGGCTACGACATTGAAACCTAGAATGTCTGAGGCAAGTGAACTCTAACCTTTCTTCATCCACCGATGTAATAATGATTTCAAACCTCCTTCTATTAATCTTAGTTTTTGCTTTTGATCTGAAACTTTATTCACATGATATGCAACATTTTAATGTTACTTTTCACCATGGGGATGAATTTATCATGGTAAACCAAACCAAGATCATTTATATAGAGGGGATTCGAATGTGTCTGAGTTACACATTGAGAACTGGACAATGGATAGTGTTGACAAGATGATAGGTGGGGGTATAAGAAAGGAAGTTATAGGTTATGGACAAAAAATTTAGAAATTGATGAGAGTTTTATTTAGATAAGAAAAGATGATGATGCATACAATTTTGCATCATATTACTGTGCAATGGTTACTGATGGAGATATATTTGTGGAACATGATGTTGAAAACATAGAACGGAGTAAGGGAACCTAAGTGTGTTAATAGGGTGATTGATATGGAAGGGGTAGAAGTGAGGTGGTTAAAGGTTTAGATGATAGTGAAGATGATATAGTTACTGCTCTTGTAGATGGGTTTGAGGGAATTGAAGTAACATTACCTATAAGGGAAGCAGGGGTAGTTGTTGGACTTTTGGGTAGGCCCAGTAAAAAAATGATGAAGATGATTATTATAGTGATGAGTTAGACACCTTAGATCCAGATGATTCTTGTGATGATAAAATGCCCAAGTATGAAAGGTTTAGGAAAGAGCATCTCAACAAGTTCTATAAATTTAAGTGGGGTATGGAATTTAATTCTCTTATTGATTTTAGAGAAACAATTTGTGAGTGGTCAGTGCTAAATGGAAGGGAAATTATATTTGTGAAAAATGAGAGTTATAGGTTTAGAGTGCAAGGCTAAATATGGGTTTTTAGTCTTATGTTCTAAAAGTGGGCCACAAGCACACTTTTGCTATAAAAACACTAGTAGACCCACACATGTGCTAGGGTTTTGAATAGCATATCTACAAGCTCAAAGTGGGTGTATAAGTTTGTGCTTAAGAGAATGCGAACATGTGAAACATTAAGAATTCGAGATATCATGCAAGACATTAGACAAAACTTTTTTGTAGGTATTAGTGTTGCAAGAGCATGGAGGGCTAAGTTGATAGTAAATAAGATTATTGAAGGTGATGCTGATAAGCATTATGGAGCTCTATGGAGGTATGTTGTTGAGTTGAGAAGGGTTAATATTGGTAACACTGTGAAGATAAATGTTGAAAGACCATGTCCATCCATCCAACCTAGGTTTGGCTCATTTTACATTTGTTTTGATGGTTGTAAGAAAGGTTTTATAAATGGATGTAGACCATTTGTTGGGGTTGATGGTTGTCACCTGAAGACCAAATATGGTGGGTAACTACTAATTATTGTGGGTAAGGATCCCAATGATCAATACTTCCCTTTTCCATTTGGTGTGGTTGAAACTGAAACAAAGGAGAGTTAGAAAATAGTTCATACAACTATTGATGGAAGATATTGGACAAGAGAGAAGATATGTGTTTATCTCTGATCAACAAAAGGTAGACATTAACCTCAAGTATTCTATAACATTTCATCAAATGTATATGTTGGTTTTTTACATATTGATGCACTTTCTTATATTTTGTTTCAGGGACTAGTGGCTATGTTTGACAGAATTGAGCATAGATTTTGTCTCCGACACTTGTATGCAAATTTCAAGAAAAAGTTTGATGGTGGAACCCTCATGATGATAGGAGCTGCTAAGGCCACACGCTATCAAGGATAGATCCAAAAGATGAATTAATTGAAAAAGGTAGATATGAATGCTTGGACTTAGTTAATGATTGTTCTTACCAAATGTTGGTGTAAACATGCCTTTAGTTTTTACCCTAAATTTGATGTTTTGATAAACAATATTTATGAGTCTTTTAATGCTACAATTTTAGCTGCTAGGGACAAGCCTATTCTTACTATGTGTGGGTGGATTAGAAAGTATCTTATGAATAGGTTAGCAACATCTTCCACAAAACTTGAGAAATGGCAACATAGAGTTATGTCAATACCAGCTAGGAAGATGTTATATAATGAAGTGTTCAACAATGGTCATTGATTGACAACTTGGTCCATGGCTGAGCAATTCCAAGTTACACATAGTTTCAACACACAAGAGTTTATTGTTGACATAGCAAAAAATTCATATAGTTGTAACTTTTGGAAATTGGTTGGAATTCCTTATAGGCATGTTGTAGCTGCTTTAAGTTATAGGAAAAAAAATACTTTATGATTTTGTTGATGAGTGTTATATAAGAAAAAATTATGCTTGTTATGGTTATTTTTTGAATCCTATTAATGGACAGGATATGTGGCCAGATGTCCAAGTGGATGAGTTACAACCTCCAACATATAAAAATGGACATGGTAGACCAAGAAAGGTTAGGATACGAGAATGTGGTAAGAAATGTGCAAGGAAGAGAAGACCTGGGGTGGCCTATAAGTGCACCAAATGTGATAAATTTGATCATAATACATTGACATGTAATAGCTTGACACGGGACCCTAATGCATTAAAAATAAAGGTACCATGTGTTTACTTATTGATATGCATCTTATGTGAATTTGTTAGAATTCTATTTTTGGCTAAATGTGTGAACATGTGTTTGTATGTTGACTTTGTAGAGGAAACCTAAAGTTGAGAAAAATCCAGTTAATGTAGAGGATAGTGTTATGCCAACTGATGTAGAGGCCACTGTTGTGCCAATTGATGTAAAGACTACTTCTATGCCACCTGAAAACAATCCAATTATGCAGACTCAAGTATCAACTGTTATGCCACCTGAAAACAATCCAACTATGCAGACTCGAGTATCAACTGTTATGCTAACTGTGCAGAGTCAAACTGAATCTTGTGTTGTAGACACAAGTCAGTCACAAGCAAAAAAAAGAAAGAAAAAAATCAGTCATTAAAGGAAGGAAAAGTGAAATAGTAAAGTTGATATGTTTCTGCAAAAATATTTTGATTGAAACATAGAAACATTTCCATTGGGTTAAATATATAATAACCTTCCATTACATTAACTTAAACACTATTGGAATCATAACAACATATTGAAATCAAACTTATAAACCTTTTCATTACATAAACTTAAACACTATTGAAAACAACATCCATGACAAAGCAAGTGCAATCATCAGCAAATTGTTTCTTTTCTTCTCCATTAGAAGCTTTTTCTTCAATTTTTTAATTTTCTTTGGACTGCCTTTTACACCCCAATCCTTGGCAACTTCACATTCAATCTACTTAACAATGTCGTTCGCAATTTCCTTCAAATAGACCTTTGTAATCTCACATTCACATCATCTTGAGGGAATCAATCCATTCCTTGGAACCTCGCACGACTCATCGTCCCAAAAGAACAATCCATATTCATTCTGCAAATATGATTAACACACACACACACACACACACACACACACACACACACACACACACACACACACACACACACACACACACACACACACACATACACACACACACACACACACACACACACACACACACACACACACACACACACACACACACACACACACACACACACACACACATACATATATATATATATATATATATATATATATATATATATATATATATATATATATATATATATATATATATATATATATATATATATATATATATATATATATATATATATATATATATATATATATATATATATATATATATATATATATATAACAGTTACTGAAAATGGAAATACAATTAGAAACATGAACAAACACTTATCAATGGATTTCTATATTTCCAAAAATTTTGATTTAGGTTATCAATGGTGTTTGATACCCACATCTTCATTGCTTCGTTACAGCCGCATGTTGACAAACTCCTTTCAAAAGAGTACCAATGAATGATGCTTTGCTACCACCCTGAATGAAACGATGAAGCAATTTTTCTTTGGTCTGATGAAAGAAGAGAGACAGGAGAAACAAACCCTAGAAAAGAAAAAGAAGATGAAAATATGTCATGCTGTCACTAAAAACGTTAGCCACGATAGAAAACTCAAAAACAAAAGCCACAGTGAAAAATAAATGAAAAATCGTTGAGGACATGTGACATTTGGAGAAGGTTCTCATGGAATCTAGATAAGATAAGGGGAGGATTAAAAAAAATATAATTTACATAATTTAATAACAAAACTCGTTACTATTATAGGTAGGGTTTATATATTTAACCCAATAAAATATGAGATCTATGAGAACAACAATATTATTCAAATTGATTTTAAAGATTAATCTCAACATAAAAATGTTTTTAAAAAATTAATTCAACACAACTTTAAAAATTAGTCTCAACAATAATGTTAAAAAATTTAATTCAACACAATTATAAACATTAATCTTCATAATATTATTAAACTTATAATTAACTAACAAATTAATATATTTTTTTAATAAAATATCATATTTTAAAGTTAACTCATACAATATGGTTCAACTTGATATACCGTTGCACCGTTATTTAAATTCATTCCATTTTAAATGTGTTTTTGTTTTATGTTTTACGTAATTGTTGATTCGTGTTCGATTATCTCTTATGCTTGACAATAGTCGATTAAAATAAATTATTTGTTTTTTTTTTTTTATAAATAACTAAAAAATTGAGCAAAAAAGTATATAGTATATGATTTATCCAAATTTTAGATATATACATATATTTTATGTTTTATTTTGTTAAGAGGAGAGTATTTAATTTTATGGTTGCAATGTGAAATTTGAAAGTTACATACCGTAAAAACTGCAAAACCTATAAAAAAAAAGGTATAATAGAAAAGTTAGAGGAATATAAGGAAAAAGTGGACTTAAAACATGATCAAATATAGTAAAATGGAAAAGAATGACATAAGCAAAATTGAATGTCCATAAAGAAAGTAACTTATGAGATGGCACTTTGGTCTCTTTGTATAAGCCAAGAAGCCAATATACATTATTTTAGGCAAATAAATTTTCATCGTATTTACAGGTTCATATACATTAGACACGCAAATGAGATGAAAACATGTATTACCACGTTGAAATATTCGCATAGTTTTCTTTCATGGTTACTTACACCACTTTTGAGAGTTATTGGTGAGTATGTGTAATTAAGCTCTTTGAGTTTGGTTGCATCAATAGCATGGAAAATGAGAAAAGTGTTTTTTAAGCTAAAACAAAATGATTTGCACGCGCGGTGTCACGCGCTTACCTCAGTCACAAATTGAGAAATAGTCCCTTGGAAGGATTAGGAGAAAAGGTTAATTGGTTGTCTACTTCTTAACTCATATGCTAATGCACTCAATCTCAGTGTAATTCATGTGATAGAAAAATTTTGGCAAATTTAAAGATCACATGTTTTGATTGTTTTGGAAACAAATCATATGATACTAATGCATACAAATAATGTATCATTAGAGTTTTGATTGATTCAATGTCATTTTTTTCAAGTCTTCTTTATTCAATTTTATTATAGATTATTTCAAGGATAACATAAATATTTCATTTGAATAATAAATTTTTTATTTAATTAATTAACGTCTTAAAAAAAATCAAATGTATATATTTAAATAACGTAAGATTATTATAAGACAAATTTTTATTTATCCGTCAAAAAAAATTGGATAAAGTTATTCTTAGAATAAATTATTTTGAAATTCTTGTTAATAGATCCATTGTTATTACATCAAAAGCAAAGCAACAGTCTCATGAATGTTCCTATTACCGTAACTTTTTTTTTGAATTCTCTAAGCAATCTTAAAGTAAAAAAGAGTGGTGTAGATTGGGATGACAAACGGGCATGCTCGTCCCGTTTAGGCCCTCTCAGCAAATGTCCGCAAAAAAACGGGGCGGGACGGAGCGGTCATAGTTTAGGATGCGGTCCTAAAACCTAGACCCATCCCACAAAAACAGTGAAGGTGGGGTGGGGAAAGTCCACCGGAACTGTATCTTTTAAGCCTAAAAATACAAAAGTTTATGCAAATGCTCGTGCCAGCAAAAGCCCACGAAGAAAACGGGGTGGGGCGGGGCATACACATTAGAAGGTGATGGCTTAAATCCTTGACCCATCCCGCACTAAAGTACGGGTAAAACGGGCATGCCCAACGGGCCGGACCCGTTTTGCCACCCCTAGGTGCAGGGTATGTAAGAATGACACCAAATGTAGTAAAGCATGAAGTTCAAAACAAGGAAGTTTTATAGTGCTCTCAAAGATAGCCATCAAAAGGTTTTGTGAAGGAAAATATTTTTTTGATAATGTAACGAGACTGTCATACTCTAATTTTTGTTAAGTATTAACAAGTGTAAGTAGTGTGGATAATAGTCCCACATTGGATAGGAATGTGGTGACTTGAGCATTTATAAGTGAGAGAACTCATACACCTATCACCTTAAGATTTTGGGTGAGTATGTGGTGTGTCTCTCACAAAGGTGTTGCTCTAGAAAGAATAGTCTCACAATGTTCAATGCTCCTTAGTGAAAATCTTCCCCTAACAGTGGTATCATGAGTTACACACTTTCATTGTTATCAAGTGTGATTAGCCTTAAGGGGGAGCATTGTAGAAGCATTGTGGATATTAAGTATTAAGTATTAAGTATTAACAAGTGTGAGTAGTGTGTATAATGCTCCATAGTGAAAATCTTCCCTCAATATAGTTATCGTAGACTCACACTTGAGGGGGAGTATTAAGTATTAACAAGTGTGAGTAGTGTGTATAATGCTCCATAGTGAAAATCTTCCCTCAATATAGTTATCGTGACATCTACATCATCTGTATAGCATATCATGCACTTCATCTCACATAATGCCCAAATTATTGGTCAGAGTAATTTTTGTTGGAAATTCACCTCACACCCTATGAAGAATTCCCTTCAATCTTGATCTCAAGATTGATGAAGAAACCCACAATATGATAATCATGGTAATAACAAGTAATTATCAAGAACAACAAAAGAGAAGAAGAATAACAAACAAGAAAGAGAAGAATGAGAGAAGAAGTATTTGGAGAGAATGTGTTACCCACAACTGTGGGATTTCTTATTGAACTTTCACTTGCTAACTGCAACTGTGAAATCTGTTCTGTTGTGATGTAGAATACAAAGCAAGACACCCTATTTATAGTTTTAGGTTTACACTAGCCCAAAACATAAAAGGCCCAAAATATTCTAAATCAAATCTAATCATATGATATCAAATCTAATCATATGATATCTAATCATATCATATCAAATTAATCATATGATATCAAATCTAATCATATGATATCAAATCTAATCATATCAAATCACAATGAATTATATTTAACACACCACTTAATTCATTGTGTCTAAACTGTCTACATTCATCATGACCCTTAGTCTTCTGAAGGCTTCGACTTGCACTCCCTTCGTCATGATATCTGCAATCTGATTCTCAGTTCTGCAGCGTTCCAACTTCATCTTCCCTTCTGCTACCCGCTCTCGGAGATAATGGAACCTCATTTCGATGTGCTTGCTTCGACCATGAGCTATTGGATTCTTTGCCAAGTTGATAGCTGACATGCTGTCTATCTTCATGGTAATTGCTCCATGGTTCTTCCCTGTGATTTCTTCGACCAAGTTCACCATCCAAGTTGCTTGACATGCACAAAGGGAAGCAGCTATAAATTCTGCTTCGCATGATGATAATGCCACCACTGGTTCCTTTCTCGAATTCCAAGCAACTGGTGCACAACCTAACATAAACACATATCCAGCTGTGGATTTTCGATCCTCAGCATCACTACACCAACTGGAGTCTGTGTATCCACTAACTTGCATTCTTTTCCTTCATAAGCTGCTGGAAACAAAATGCCATAGTCGAGAGTTCCTTTCAGATACCTCAGTATCCTCTTCGCCGCTGCTAGGTGTGATACCTTTGGTTTCTGCAT